ACTCTGTGCAGTTTGAGAAATTGGACCAATCCCTTCTAAGCTGGTAGGTGCAATGTGTAAAGGCCACTTCTTTGGCCAGTACCTGCTAGAAATAACTGACTTGTCTGCTCCTGCATAAAGCACACCTCTGAAATTTTTATAGTTGATTTTAAGATCCAATAGAGGGCGCTCCTGTCTAACCAATTGAGCCAAATAGGCTCGGCCCCGGGACCCAGAACTCAGGTTTTCATCCAGGCTGTTTGTGGAGCGACAAGACAAGAATATTAATTGTGCTACAACATCCCTGGGAGAAAGCTGGATAATGCAAACCATTTGAACTGTAACCCTGATTTCTCCTTCAAAATTTGGATCAATAACACTTGGCAATATTTGAATTCCTCTTTGACTTAAATTGCTTCATCCCAACACTAGGCCTATGGTATTTTGCAACAGCAGCCTGTGAATCCCTGTAGGGATTTGTTGTCTGCCCAATTCAGGAGTTAAAATGAGTCCCATGGCTGGTCAGAGTCCCAAGCTCTCGGCCTCTGGGACGGAAACATCCCAGAAGGATAGTATTACTGGGCGGCTGGGCTAGGCTTGATGACATCTGTGAGCCTTTGGCTCCTCTTCCAGTGTAAATTGAAATACCCCTACTGTTTGGCGGGGCCGGGGCAAGCCCTGCCTCCAGTTTCCCAGTGGTGGTGAAGATGGAAGTGTAGCCACAAATGGCAGCTGGCCACCTCTGCCATGCCTGCCGGAGCCTCCCATGCCACCTCTCCAATGGCACTAGCATTAACCAGGTGGATCTCCTCAGATGCATGGCGATCCACAGTCCCTAGCCATGTGCCCCGTCTTACCACAGTTAAAACATTGCCCCTGAGAGTGTCTTCTCCTAGACTGAGGATGTAAAACTTGCTTTAAAGCCACAGCGATAGTCATACTTTGCAATTGCACTGGACCCACGTCAGAGAAAAGGCGAATAAGTTCAGAAAGAGTTCCTTTTATCTGATGGGGTCGGATAATTTTCTGGCAGACTTTATTGGCATTTTCAAAAGCTAATTGTTTGACCAAAACCTCAGATGCATTGGAATCACCAATGGTCCTATTTGCCACCTGGTAAAGGCATGCTACAAAATCCGAGAATTTCTCCTCTGGTCCCTGCCAGATCTGACTGAAATCCAAAATGTTTTCACCTTAATTTGGTAGTTCTCTCTGGACTCTCTAGCACACATACTAATCTGATCATAAATTGGTAAATCATAATTTAACTATTGTTCTAAATCTGCAAATGGTCCTGTTCCAGTTTACATCTGTATGGGACTATCAATACCATGTCTGCTATTCCTTTTGGCTTGTTCAGCGCAAAAAATCCATCCAGTTTGATCTCCATAATAAAAGTTCACCTCTGGACAGACACACTTTGTCTAGTGTAATCCATCATGAGGTGGTAATGGCTCACTGCAGATTGATTCAATAAAGCTCTGAACAAAAGGCAAACTGGACCATAAGTGCAACAAGCATTTTTCAGTTCCTTCCTAGTTTTAAAAGGAACCACAGGATGAATTTGAACACACTGATTTTGCTTGTCTACCTCAAAAACTGGAAAAAAGCTGGAAACCTGTAATGTCTTCTCTCTCCCAAAGGCCACGTTGGAATGGCTGAATCTCGTTCTCCGGGAGGGGAGTGGCCGTATCCGAATGGCAGAAGCAGGACCACCCAACCACAGATTACTTAAACCCATTCCCAGCTCACTTTCTCCATTGGACTTGGGATCCTCCTCTGAACCCACAGCTCGGCCTCTCTGGAATTTCCCTGTGCGGTTTCCTCTCTCCCATCTTGGATTTTCCCTTCCTGAAATTCGACTTGGGCTGGTTTACTCTCTAGCACAGGCCCCTACCAACAAGTTTTGCTGATATGCTTGTGAATCACTCTCTGCCTTAATCTGCTGTAATTTGAATAATCTTAGGTCTCGCCCCCAAGCCTTTCTGTCTGAGGTTTACAAGCTACAGACTGGGCATGACTTAACTCTGCCCTTAGTCCAGGCAAAGACAGAGAAATTCATCTTGGAATGGCACAAGGCTGTCATGTTCAAAGGTCCTAATTGCATCCTGCAGCCCTTAAAACAATTTCTCGGAGGACCAGTGGTCCTCTTATCGGTTGGCAAAAAGACACATTTTTAAGGCAGTCCAGACTTTCTGAATATTCTTTATTGTACCTCTAGGTAGTTTAGCAGAGAGACAACCTTTAAACAGCTTTCTACCTACCCTCTCCCAAGTAGGCAAATTAGGCAGTTCTTCCTCACAAAACCATGGACAGACATCATTGACTATTTTTAGGAATGTAGTGAACTGGGTTCTCTTGATTTGTTTTCCCCTATGATGATTAATGTCTCCAGGATCATGAAGTAGATTTCTCTCTTTGAAGATGATGAATTCCCCATATTATGATTAGCGTCCCTTACTTTCCATTTGCAACCTGTTTTCTCTCACAACCCAATCCACGTTACTCCGAATTTTCTAAGCTGCTCAACCAAAGTCAATCTGCCAAATTCACAATGAGTGCCCCTCATTCAGGTGCCAATCTATTGCCCCTATTTAGCACAGGCAACTGAACCAAAGTCACTCATGTGAATTTGGGGTGACACAAAATACCACACAGACACAGAATACATTTTTATAAGCTTCAGGATGGCTTCCCCAGCTCCTGGCCTCAGGTTCCCTCAGGGGGGCAAGAGAAAGTCACAAGAGGCTGGAGAGAGAGGTGGAAGGGAGCACACATTTTGGAGTTGGCCTTTATTGGGAGACACTGTTTCTTAGAACATTCTATCCAAAAAAGGGGCAATGGGTAGGATTACAAAGGAACAGGTGAGTGTAACTCAACCCCACCGGGTAACACTTACTCCTGGAGCCACACCTCATTATCTGAGGGGAGGTAAAGCCCACGTTATTGCCATGCACAATAATTGTTCAGTATTTCTTGCTCAGGTCTTAAGGGCATGTATTTCCAGAGTGGCTCCTGACAACAACCTATTTTAAGCAACTTAAATTCAATCACATAATATAGCTCTTTTATTTGCTTAGATTTTTAAAATAGTATCCCATTCCTAATTGATAGAATATTTTGTATTATTTCTCTGAGGGTATTATAATTTTTGAAGGTTTTTTTCCCCCTCCATGGTGCCTCTTTTCCCCCATTTTCTTCTTTTCATTTTGTTCTGTTATCTTTCCTTCACATTAGAGGTTTTCCCTCAGATGCCTGATAATCCATGGTTATATCTATAAATAAGGACTAAAAAGCTGTTTGGAAGATCCCAGAACATGAATGGCCCATGTGGACTTTGAATTTCATTTTAAGATGTTCTGAGAGACTGGGGGCGTAGTTCAGTCATAGAGTGTTTGGATAGCATTTGCCAAATCCTGGGTTTGGTCCCCAGCTCTGAGAAAAACAATTATCCTGGCTGGTCATTTCTTAGAGAAATTTCCCATCCAAAGTCAACATTTAAAAATCTTTCCTCTTCAAACTTATCAGTTTCCCCAAAGGAATCTATTCCAAATGCTTTCTTTCTTTTTTTTCTAATTTGTTCTTTTTAATACTATTTGACATTAGACTCAATTTTAACATACTTATACACACATGGAGAATATCTTATTTTAAATAGGATCCCAGTCATGTAGATGTACATGATGTGGAAATTAACTGGTGTATTCATATATGTACATAGGAAAGTTATGTCAGATTTATTCCATTGTCTTTCCTATTCTGTTGTCCCTCCCTTCTCTTTATTCCCTTGTCTAATCCACTGAACATGTATTCTCTCCCTACCTCCCTTTGTTGTATGTTAGCATCTACATATTAGAGAGAACATTAAACCTTTGTTTTTGTGGATTGGCTTATTTCACTTAGTGTTAGTCTCCAGATCTATCCATTTACTGGCAAATGCATAAAGTCATTCTTCTTTAAGGCTGAGTAATATTCCATTGTGTAGATATACCACATTTTCTTTATTCATTCATCTGTTAAAAGGCACCTAGGTTGGTTTCATAGCTTAGCTATTGTATATTGAGCTGCTAAAAACATTGATATGGCTGCATCACTGAAGCATGCCAATTTTAAGTCCTTTGGGTATATGCTGAAGAGTGTGATAACTGGGTGAAATGGTGGTTTCATTCCTAGTTTTTTGAGGAATCTCCTATTGCTTTCCATAATGGTTGCACCAATTTGCCATCCCATCAGCAATATATGAGTGTACCTTTTCCCCCACATCCTCACCAACATTTATTGTTACTTGAATTCTTGATAATTGCCATTCTGACGGGAGTGAGATGAGATCTCAGTATAGTTTTAATTTGCATTTCTCTAATCAAATATTTCTTATGTGGTACTTCAAGCATTCTAGGAGCCAAGTGGTGGGCAAAGACCAGGGAGAAACCAGCATTTAGTATGCATTCTTTCTCTTAGTCTCCTTGCTTTCAGAAATAGTATTCATATTCTCAGCTATGTTATGGCATTATCCGTATTCCAACAATGAAACTCCAGTATTCTGCCAGGATCAGCAAATTGCCATTACCCAGTAGCATATTGTAAAGGAGGTATTTAAAGATCTCATTAGTTTTTAAATAGGTTTCAGTGCACCAACTTTATTTTAACCCCATCTCTTAATATCCATTTCCAGAGATAGCAGAAATTATCAATTTCTGAACTGTTTGAGAATTCTTAAGTAGAGATGTGGGTGCTGATTTAATATTTAGATTTATAGTGTGTACTGAGTTGTTTCATAATCATCCAGTTTTTTCCAGTTTCTAGGATATTGTTGCCATTGTCTTCTTTCCTTATTCTTTCTGACCTTCTTAATTTGTGTTTGCTTTTTTAAGTGCCTATAATTTTAGAAAGTTTTCTGGAGAGAATAAAATTAGATGAATGTGTTAAATCCATAATATTGATATGAAACTATTTCTAACCATAATGAAGAATTGTCTTACCTACCTCATATGATATTTCTATTGATCCTCAATTTACATTAGGTGTTATACCTGAAGAATCTTAGCCCCCGAGTGAGTGAAAGAGATCTTGTGTCATTATTTGCTCGGTTCCAAGAGAAAAAGGGACCTCCGATTCAATTCCAAATGATGACTGGACGAATGAGGGGACAGGCTTTCATCACATTTCCCAGTAAGTAACTTCATCTAGATAATTACTGTTGTAGTGTCAGTTCACTAGAGATATACAACCTCTCTAGATATAGTCCTTTTATTTCTTTGGATATAGCCCTTTGATTTCTCAACTGCACATGAGAATTAAGGAAAATGTTTTTAGTGCTCCTCTGTCCCCCTTTCTGTTCTTCCTCTCCTCTTTTGGCAGTGTGTAACCACCATATGTATGTCTCAATTTTCGCAATGTTGGCATTTCATTCTTACCCTACCAAAATTTATTTCCTTTTGCTAACAATGATATTTCTAGTCTGTTATAATTATTCACTGAATAATATATTGATATTCTGATCAGAACACATGTATTTGCCTTATTCCCTATTCCTTTAGGACTAAGTGACTGCAAGATAATATACTAATTCATTACTAAATTATAATTAGTACTGAAGTGTGCATTCTTCTAAATATTACTTGCATGTTAATACATGGTTTCAGTGTTCTAATCCAGATGCCAGAACAATATAGGAATTTCATGTCTTTTGGGGGAGATGCTAGGTAGAATGTGTACCTTTAATTATCACTGAACTGTCATCATTTATAAATAGTCTGCTATCCTTTTTATAAGCAAGTAGTTTTACACATGAAGACTGCCAACTCCTCTCCATTGTTTTCATGCAGTTTTTGGTTTTGCTTTTGGTACTGGGACACTTTACCACTGAGTTACATCCCCAACCCCATTGATTGATTGATTGATTGATTGATTGATTGATTTGAGACAAGATCTCACTAAGTTGTTGAGGCTGGCCTTGAACCTGCAGTTCTCCCACTGCAGCCTTCCAAGTTGTTGGGATTATAAGCATGTTTCACTGTGCCCAGCTTCTTTTCACATAGTCCTATGTCATCTTTCCTATCTCACTGAAAGTTTATAGATCTTCTGTACCAGTGTTTTTCAGTTTTTTTCAAATTAAAAAAAAATATGACCCACTAATTAAGAAATATGTAATAAAAAGGGCTTACAAACTAAGTACTTTTAATGCATGGCTATTTTACTAATAATAGCAGCAGATATACTACACATTTGAAAATTTGTAGTACATACATCTGAGACAAAAATTGGTTCAGTCTAGTGGGCTGGGGTTGTGGCTCAGTGGTAGAGCACTTGCCCAGCATGTGTAAGGCACTGGGTTCGATCCTCAGCACCACATATAAATAAAATAAAGGTATTATGTTCATCTACAACTAATTTTTTAAATTGGTTCAGTCTAATAACATTGTCTACATATGATTACACAACTCCTGGCCATAATCCATACCTCCTTATTTCTCACATCCAAGTCCCATTAATTGAATATTTGTACTGTACAATATATATTCTCTTACCTGAAGCTTCTATATGCCTACAAAAGTTCTTAAACTTATTTATCCCAATAATATTCCCATAACCACTCCCCCCACTGAAAGAAAAATATAGCAAAGCTTCCTTTTATTTGTGTTGCCACTTTGAAAAAGTTTTGGTTTTCATAATACCTATAATTTGTATCAAAGATAGAGGATAATGTGTAATTAGTATAGTCTACTACTTTAGCACACTGCTCGTATCCTTGTTTCTTTACCTATGTTTTTGAATTAGAATACACCCACAAACATCAATTTGAAAAAAAAAATCTATTTGAGCTTTGTTGTCATTATTGTGAGATATTTAGTCTTCCTGGTTTATACAAATTTGAAATTATAGTAAAAATGATCAAATCAAATGATATGACCTTACAGCCAACAGTTAACATTGAAGAAAAGCAATGTAAACTAGACTTGGAATAAAATTGAATTATTAAGTTCTATGTAAATTGATTTGTTTTCTTTTTCTTTTAGATGAGGAGATAGCACAGCAAGCATTGCATCTAGTAAATGGATATAAACTGCATGGGAAAATATTGGTGATAGAGTTTGGAAAGAATAAAAAACAACAGTCAGATCTCCAGGCTGCTTCTTCCATATCATCTACTACACATAGTAGTACAGAAATCAGTGGTAGCTAGGGAAATACATATACACACACACACACACACACACACACACACACACACACACACACATACATATACACATACACATATGCATACATATACATATACACACACACATACACATACATATACATTCACACACACACACACAGTGGGCCCTAGGTAATCTTTCTTACATTAGACTCTTGGAGTAAAGATTTGCATATACATAGAAATTTGTTTGGAGTTGAAGAGGATAAATTAACTGAGAGAGAAAAACATTAATTAGGACAATGCTTTTCAGCTTTCTGAGAGAATTAGTAGAAAACATTTTTTATAATCAAAGACTCTCTAGGACCGAAAATATCCTGAGTATTAAGGGTGATATACAAAGAGTATTATTTTTTAGGATAAATTACATAGAATTTTTCCTGAGGATTTTTATAAAACCTTTATCATTTTCTGGTGTTTTTAATATTTACCCCTAGAGATAACATTCTTTCCAGGACTGTCTCCTTTATACAAAACTTTAAAATGGATTAAACATTGAAATACTTATTTATTAGAGTCCATGTCTCAAACTTTTATCTACCTAGTAAGTAATAGAACAGGCCCTCAGGCCTAAGATCAACAAACACTGTAATGTCAGAATTGTCAGCAGTAATAGTAGGTAGTTTCATAAGTCAATTATCATATTTAATGAATTCTTCCTAAGTTCTTAGAGTCTTCCAAAAGCTATATATTTTTTCTAATGAAATCTTTTTAAACAAAAATATTGGTGTTCTCATGGCCATTTAAACTAGATACAGTTGAGCAATCCTTCACTTCATCACAATAAACACTGAGTGTCTAATATATGTTAAATATAAGGTATATGAATTTTACAAGAGGAACATACTAGCAAAGAATTCTAAAGGGATATGGAAAGAAAGAGTTCTCCAGAAGAGAAATAACCTGTCTCAAATCCCCTAGTTGTTTGTTTATTGTTGCAGAATAATAGAAAGACAGTATGGCATTGAGGAAGTAGTACTAACTTAGGGATCAAACCTGTGCACCTCACAGCCACATTTACCACCCTGGACTTGACAAGTCACTTAATGAGCCTCAGTTTTCTCATCTATAAAGTGAGGATAATAGTACTACTTATCTCCTTTGGGTTGTGAGGATTAGGTGAGATAATTCTGTCTAGGGTGAAGAACAGAAATAAAAGAGAACTGATAAAATTGAAGAGTATAGAACTCAACACCATTAAGCACTCCAGTGTGGAAGTAATGGTAGTGCTAGAAGAAAAAGAGAACGAAAGGGGGAGGAAAAAAGCATTCCAAAAAATAATGTATGTAAGTACTTCAAATTTGTTGAGAAACATTAATTTATGTATTGCAGAACCTCAGCAAACCCTAAATAGGACAAACAAAAGGAAAACTACAAACAAACACATCCTAATAAGTACTAAAATCCAGAGACATAAAATCTTGACAGCAGCACAAATAAAATGAACTATCACTTATTAGGGAACCCCAGTAAGATTAACAACTGACTTCTCAGCAGAAGCCATGCTGGTAGCAATTAGATAACATATTCAAAGTACACAAAGGAAATTAACTCTTGACCAGAATCGTATATACAAAAAACCTATTTTTTCAAAAATGGAAGTGAAATAAGACATTTGCATGTAACAACAACCAGAGAATTTTTTGCGAACAAACCTCATAGAAAATATTAAAGGAAGTTCTTCAGGTTGAAAGCAAGTATCCTTAGACTTTTATATGAATATACACACAAAAGTTCATCAACGAAGGTAAATATGTAATTATAGAAGGCATTCTGCATTCATTTTCCTTTATTAATTTTAAAAACTGTTGTATAAAGCAGTATGTGTATAGTTGCATTGTTTTGTCTTTAGCATAAAACATGTTTGCCAATAATAGAACAAACAAGGTAGATGGAAATAACACTGTGTTATTAAAGAAAAGACTCTAGATCATAGCTCAAATCTACAGGAACAAATTTTTAAAAATAAGAGAGAAAAGAAGGGTAATGTAAAAAAAAACTATAAATACAGACTTTCTTTTCTTCTCTTCATTAAAACATAGAATTATATTAAGTAATGATTATAATTATGTATTATCAGGTTTATAATGAGAAAACAATATGTATGACAGTCATACCACAAAATGGGGGAAAGAAATGGGTTTATATAGAACTAATATTTCTATATATCACTGACATTAACTTAATATATATCTTTAGCTGATCCAGTTTAGTTAAGGTGTGTATGATAAGCCCTGGAACAACCACTGAGAAAATAACTTTTTAAAAAAATGAAATATTATTACATTTACATGTCACATTAGAAAATAATACAAAAAGCAAAAAGAGGAAAGGAGAAACAAAAGGTTGAGACAGATAGGAAAAAAAACAACCAGTAAAATGGATTTTGTAAATCCACCCACCAATAGTAATAATAAATGTGAATGGATTAAACAGTCTAATCAAGAAATGAAGATTGTCAGACTAGGGAAAAAACAAGATTCAAAACTTTGCTGTTTATTATAAGAGATACACTTTATAAAAGTTTGCACAGAAAATTGTGTGAGTCACAAATTTTTTTAAATGAAGGAGAAAATATAACTACTGAGCTTTTAGAAATAATCCATGTACCTAAAAACAGAACATGAAATAAATGGGAGAAATAGACATTTATTTAAAAAGTTGGAATGTTTACTACCCCCATTTTCAATAATAGAAGAACTAGACAGATGATCAATAAGGAAATAGAAGACTTGAACAATATGATAAGCCAAATAGAACTAAAAGACATTTACAGAACATTCCACACAACAGCATCAGAATACATGGTCTTTTCAAGTGCATATGAAACATTTCCAGATAGATCATAAACAAAACCATAAAACAAGCCTTAATAAATATAAGTGGACTGAAATCATGTAAAGTATGTCTCTGACCACATGGAATAGAATTAGAAACTAGTAACAGAAACTGCAATTTACAAATATGTGAAAATTAGGCACACTTTTAAGTGACCAATAGGTAAAAGAAGAAATCACAAGGGAAATTTTAGAAAATTCTTTAAGATAAATGGAAATGAAGACAACATACCAAAACTTATAGGATACAGCTAAAGCAAAGCTTAGAGGGAAAAATATTAGATAAAAAGTAAACCACATGAAGGACAGAAAACTGTAGATAAAAATCAATGAAACCAAACCAAAAGTTAGTTCAATAAAAAAGATTAACAAAACAAACCTTTTGCTAGATGTATCAGGAAATAAAGGAGACTCAAATTACTAGAATCAAAATTGAAGGAAAAATATTACTACTGACTTTGTAGAAATAAAAATTATGAAGAAATTCTATGAACAAATGCATGTGAATAAGTTAGCCTGGATGAAATGAACAAATTTATAGAAAAACCCTAACTACCAAAAATAACTCAAAAAAGAAAATCTGAACTACCCTAATAACAAGTAAATAGGTTAAATTGAGTAAGGAAAAAATACCCTCAATGAAAAGCCCAGACCCACATGACTTTTTAGGTGAATGCTGCCAAGACTTTAAAGAAAAATTAATACAGTTTCCTCATTAAACTCATCCAAAAGGTAGAAGAGCAGGGAACACTTCTGACACATACTATTAACATGGAAGAACCCTGAGGATGTGCTCAGTAAAGGAAGCCAGTAAAAAATGACTACATATTATATGATTCCATTTATATGAAGTGTCCAGAATTGGCAAATATTTAGTAACAGAGGATTAATTGTGTTTTTGAGTCAAGGTGGGAGGGTAAGGAATGGAAAAGGCTAGGTTTAGAGCTGAAGTATATGAGGTTTCTTTAGAGGTTCATTAAAATGTTCCAAAATTGTGTCGATTATAGCACAACATTATGAATTATACTAAAAACTATGAACCATATAATGTGGGTTAATTATATTATGTATGAATTCTATATCAATACAACTGTCACAAAAATGTGAAGTGTGATATTACTCAAATGTTCATCAGTAGGTAAATGTGTAAATAACATCTGGCACATCCATTTAATGGAATACTATGCAGCCATTTAAATATTGGACTATATCTATGAATATATTCTGACTCATATCCAGGGTTTTGTATTAAGTTAAAACGTTATATGAAAAAATATGACTAGTGTTATTAAATTTTTAAGTAAAAGCATTTATATATATGGTATATGTATATAGATATTTCAAAATTAATTTAGGAAAAGGCTGGGAAATATGTATACCAAATTATAAACCTTTTGAAGGTAGAATTGGACAGAGTGAAAGTAGGTTTCAGTTTCTAAAATGTTTGAAATGATGTGATTTGGAGTGATTTTTACTTTTTTCAGTATTTTTTAAATTAAAAAAAATTAAATACTCTTGCATTTACTTGGCTTCCAGCATATTTGTCAGACCTATTCTAACAATATCATCTGACTATACTCAGGACAAACTTCTATTCCTCTGATAGACTGTTCACTTAGAATTAACTCTCCAATTTTAAATATAGTTTAAGGAATAGGTAATAAGTTATCCAGGTATAGCCTGTTACACATGTTACCCAGGAACATACTTCTCAGCTGAACTTTCCAAAAGGAACTGCTTCCTGTTGGGTGGAAAATCTCACCTCTGCTCATTACTAGACCTACAGTCCATTAACAATGGAGGAAAGTAAATATGGAGGATATATTTCAACTGGTGCATTGCTACAGAAACTGATACATCCAGACTAAGAAATTCTATGTGGCAATAAAAACTAATGAACCATATATGCAACAACTTGAATGAAACTTCAATGCATTTTGCTAAGTAGAAGAATCCAAACTCAAAAGGCTACTACTGTTTGATTTCATTTGTAAATTTTATGGAAAAGGTAAAACAAATAGGGATAGTGGAAAAATAACAATGGATATCAGGGGACAAAGATAGTATTCCTTGACTACAAAGTGGTAACACAATAATGGAGATTTTTTTTCTATCTTGATTGTTGTTGAATGTGTGCATTTGTCAAAATTCAGAATTGTATGCCAAAAGAATGAGTTTTGCCATATGTAAATTTTTAAATAAATGTAATTATAATGAAGGAAAAACTTTGGAGAAACAGTCATTTCTATTAATTAGTATACCTATTTTGTTGTCTGTACTGTTGAAAAGCTAAAGCCACTTTGCTACTATTTCTTTTTTTCTGTCCACAGGTGAGCAGAAATCATTATGTAAAAACATCTGTATATACATGCATACACAAATCCACCATTAAAAGAATCAAAATGAAAACTGTAATATACCATTTACCACAAGGTGCTCATATCTTTAACATACAATGTATAATTTTTTTAGTACATTAATCACCACTTATTGGCTAATACATTCCAAGACCCCTGGTGAATGTATGAAACTGGATAGTTTCAAACCCTGTATGTACTGTTTTTTTTCCTGTATGCCCTACAGCGTTGTCACACAGTACCAGAGTTAAATCTTTCCTTCTGTTTTAGGCCCTGGTGCCTCTGTTGCATCACCACTTCTGTACTTTGGGTCATTATTAAGTTTAGTTGTGGTGAATATTTTAGTGTTTACATATGTACATAAAATCATCAATTTGTATACCCTAAACATATACAATTTTTAATTATCAACTTTACCTCAATAAAGCTGGAAAAAATGTATAAAAAATTGTTACAAGATACAATGACATTATACATTGATGAAATAATAAATCCAGCAAGATACAAAATTATAAACATGTATGCATCTAACAACCAAACCCCAAAATATATGAAGAAAAAATTAACATAATTGGATTTTTTAGGGAGGCAGAACAAGATTATAAGTGAATAGGGTCTTCAAGTGAATATTCTTGCACAGGAATACCAAGTTGAACAGGTATTCACACACCAGACTACCTTTGGAAGAGCTAAGGAAGCCACATGAGAGAACAGAGTACCCAATTTTGGTATGATGATAATAAGAAAAGACGCTGGGCTGGGGATGTGGCTCAAGCAGTAGTGCACTCACCTGGCATGCGTGCAGCCCGGGTTCGATTCTCAGCACCACATACAAACAAAGATGTTGTGTCCGCCGATAACTAAAAAATAAATATTAAAATTCTTAAAAAAAAAAAGACACATCCAAAAAGACAGAAAGGATTGCCCACTTCACCCTAACTCCAAGCCATGTGGACAAATATACCTCTTATTTGGGGGAGAGAGAAGGAATAAGTCCAGGCTTAGACTTGAAAGCCAATACCAGGCCCCCCATGATGAAACCCAGAGCCAGTTTACAAAGCCTGTGATCCCTACCCCAGGACTATACCAACAGACTCAGCTGCTGAGTCTATTAGCGAAGCAGCCAAAGACCACCTCTACCATCCCTGCCCCAACCTTGGGCAGTAGAGAAGGAAGCAAAACTCTGCCTGCTAGGGAGGAAGGCACAAATACTAGTGCAGGACTTTGCTTTGGAGTTCAGTGCCATGCTGGCTGTGTTGAGAGTACCAGAGAGAAAATGATGGCCCCTACATACAGGCCAGAGCTCACAGATGGAGCCTCTAGACCTGCCCCAGTATGGAGTAGAGACATGTATATTGATGAGACAGACTAGAGGTTTGGCCTGCATCATTGCCACATGTGAAATAGGCCTGGGGCACATCCCCCAGATTGTAAAGGTACCTGTGTCTGAAAGACAAGTGCAACCTAGCTTTGCACCATACTGTCAGCACAACCCCTTCTCCAGCCTTAGGGAGCACAGCTATTCCCAGAACACTGCTTACACATGGAGTTCTAGACCTGCCCATAGTATAAGGAAGAGACCAGCACCCTGTGGTTTAGCTTTGTGTTTTGGTGTACGTCACTGTCAATGGTGGCACAGACCTGGGTACACCCCCTGAGACTGCATAGGTTCTTACAGCTGTGAGATTCAGGAGCTGTAAGAACCTATGTTACCCAGTTTAACATTAGCCTTGGTGGCCAAAGGACTGCCTTTACCAACATTACCCCAAGCTTGGGCAGCATAGTGTGGAGCAAGACCGAATTCACCAAGCCCAGGACTTTGGCTTGGAACTTAGTGCTGGGCTGATGAAACCTAATACTGGGAAAATCCTAATGGCCCTCAGCCCCAGGCCAGTACCCATGGATGGAATGTCTGGAACAGCCCCAATGTCAGGTGGGGACATATTGCCTTAGTCTATCAGACTTCTGGCCAGTATTATGTGTGACTGTAGTGGTGTTGGGATATGAGTCCACCTCAGCAGTCAGCAGCCCATAGTAGTGCAGACGTCATTCGTACTTTGTATAGAGCTAGTACTAGTGGACTGTGGACTCAGTTTGACAACGTGTTGGGATGTTCATGGTCACAGTTGAGACAGGAGACCAGGGCTAGACCCTCCACAGTAATTGTGCCCAGACCCAGGTGGAATTCCACAATTCCTGACCACAACCAATTACTGTGGACAAGGTAGGTGTTTGAACCTACCCAGTTCCCAGGAGAGGTTTGTGAGGAACTACACTTTTTAGGTGCTCCAACAAATTGATGCTGAACAACACCAACTGTGGGTTGGAAACAAACCTGGGCTTTCATCACCCTCTAGTGCTGAAAGAAATAACACACCAACAGTGGACTTGAGGCAAAACTGGAGTTAGTATGACATCTAGTGCTGATATAGTGGAAGTGACTTCAGATACAGAGAAAATAAGCAGACTTCTTGAATTTCTGGAAAGACAGCCAGAAAGCAAGCCAGATTATGAAGACTAGAATAAACACCTAATCCTTCAATATCCAGATGATGTCACACAACAAGAAGCATCAAGAACTTTTAGTGAACCATGACTTCACCTAACAATAAAAAAAAGGTACTAGAAACTGACCAGAAAGTAAGCAGTATGGAGAAGTTCTTGGATAGCAAATTTAAAACAGCTGTTTTAAAATAAGTTGATTAGCTTCAAGAGAACACACAGAAATGATTCAATACTCTTAACAGAGAAACGAGAGTTTAATAAAGAGATTGAAGCAATTAAAAGAATTATCTAGTAATCCTTAAGCTAAAAAATAGACTAAGGGAAACTAAACAGGCATCAGTGGTGGAATTGATCAGCCAGAAGAGATAATCAGTGAGCTCAAAGACTATTTGTTAGTACAAGAAAAGAAAATACACAGTTGGAGGAGAAAAAAGAATTAATAGACAGAATTTCACAATAGCGCTGAAAGAGCAAATATTTGGGATATTGGAGTTCAAGAAGGACTTGAAAATGCCCCAGGAATAGAAAGCTTATTCAAAGAAATAATGACACAAAATTTCCCAAACCTAGAGAAGGGCACAAATAGGTTTAGGAAGGTAAAAGGCCACCACTCACATTTAACTCTACTGGCCAGGAAGGAATAGGTGAGATTTTCAAAATACTGAACACAAAAAAAGTCATTCCTTAAAAAAAAGTGATTGGATGTGTCTCTACCATGGGAAGTTATACAACTTACTGGTAGGAGGAAATATACACACAAAATCAAAATGCTGTAATTTTGTCAGCATGGTGTATAAACATCATGTCTTTAGTATGAAGACTAAAAAATTTTAAATAATCATAGCCAACATTAATGTGTTGAGAGGCAATATAGAAAGGTGTAAAATGGAATATCAGAAATTTAAATTGAGGAGTGGAATGGAGTTTAAGCATTCATTGCAGCTCTTCACATAATAGCCAAGATATGGAGTCAACTGAGATGTCCATTAACTGATGATTGGATAAAGAAAATGTCACATATATAGAGTGAAATATTAGTCATCCATAAAAAAGGATGAAATCCTGTCATTTACAGCAATATGGGTAGAACTGGAGGGCATTATGGTAAGTGAAATAAGTCAAGCACAGAAATATAAATTTTTCATTTTCTCAATCACATATAGAAGCTAAAAAAGTTGACTTCATATAAGTAGAGAGTAGAATAGTAATCACTGAAAGGTAAGAAGGGTAAGAGAAGGGGAATAGATGCAGGTTGGATAATGGGCATCAAAATATGGTTATTACATAAGTTCTAATAAAAGGAATAAGTACTAATGTTTTACAGCACAGTAGGATATCTGTAGTTCATAGCATATTTCTTAAGAACTTGAAGAAAGGAGTTTGATGTTTTCCGGCATAAGAAAATGACACATGATTCAGGATATGGAAATACTATTTACTATTTGATCATTACACATTGTACACATATATTGAATTATCACACTGTACTTAAATATATATACTTAAATAAATATGTATACTTAAATATAAATGAAAATGTGCTTAGGTTTAACCAAATTAATGCTGAGGATGACAGGTATGTACCACCTAGTCCAGCAATTTTCAGAATTTTTATAAATTTCAGGTGCCTTATGTTTGTGTTACTATTGCAAAAGTTTCCTTTTTCTTTTTTAATTCTGTTGGTTAATATATAGAAACCAGTTGAGTTTTAGATGTTCAGTTGACATGATTTTATATCCAACCAATGACATTTCTAAACCCTATTATTTGTTATGTTTGTATGTCCATAATAAGGAAACTGTTTCTTCCTTTCTATTCCTATATCTTTTATTTATTGTTTTATTGTACTGTTCCTATTCAGTACTGAATAGAAGTGTTGAGAATGGACATTCTCATGTCAATCCCAATCCCAGAGGGAGAGCTTTCAACACTTTACTGTTAAGTATAATGTTCATTGTAGATTTTTTTGTGTTATCAGAATAAGAAAACTCCCTCCTATTCTTAGTTTGTAGAACTTCTTGAACAGGTACTGCTGTTGTCCATGGAAAAGAACCTTCATGGCTGAACTCTTAAATCCAGAAAGAAGAAAATCTGCAAATTCTATAGTTAATCATGTGTGTCGGGTGATTTCAGCATTTCTTTTTTGCCTGGAAACTCTCAGGTAGAAAAAAATCAGAAATTGTGGGTATGCATTATTAGAGGTATTATTGTGATTGGGAATGTGGGTCCCAGAATCCTTTGGGAAAAAACAGTTGAAAGAATTCATTGCCAGCAAAACTGCAATATGAGCCATAGTATTTCCTTCACGTTGAAGGAAAATGATATTATATTGAAGAATAGAACTGTGGGAAGGAATGAAGAAT